TTTTTGTATCATATTTACCGTTTTTTTTTATATTTACCGATGAAGAACTGCATTAGGCTATCAGAGCCGGCTGATAGATACTTGCCTCCAATTTTGTACCATCAAACATGTGTCCAATACCATTTACAGTAGGGTACATGTTTGATAGTAGAAAAAGCGGGCAAGTGTATGTGGTCAACGCTTCATTAAGATTACAAAATAACACACATTTTCAATATCTCTTCAATAAAGCCCAAAGAGTGGAATCAGTCACTATCTGTGAATGCTAGTTCGAACTTTCTTGTGCCACTTAGATCCCATCGTTTGACTACTTTCTTGAAATTGAATAATTATTTTTTTTTACTAATTTTATAAATGCATAACATCGGAATCAATAATGATACAAATTTAATACTCTCGAGCCACCTTTACCATGTTTGATTGTGCGACCGTCTTTTTTTCGCAAGCCAGGAGTACTCCAACAATACTCCATGAAAATTCATAGTATCAAGGAATCAAATTGTCAGTCTGCCAATTGCAAGGTCGGCTTCAAGTGTCCTGTCCATTTAGCATTCGAATGAAATGATCACATAACCTGCTCTCCATTATATAGCCGAAATAAAGCCCACTTGGCGTTAAACCAAACAAATCCTCCATCCATCTGAAATACATTTTTGTTTTCGAACAGCAGCTAAGTTTGTAGCAAAACATTTGAAACTACCTCAAATCTTCACTTTATTGAAAGAGAAATGCACACACATTGTGGGTGTTTTGATACTCCTGCGTGAGCTGTGAATGCTTCTTTAATAATATTGACCTGGCAAGTTGAAGAAATTGAATTCAAATTATTTAAATTTTGATTTACTTTGATAATGTGGAAAAAATCCATTATCATTTTCGCAGGAAATAAATAATTGCAGAACCAAATGTCGGTTTATTGGCGATGTTAATCAGACAGAGAGTTCAATGAAATAAAAGTACAGAAGCTGCACAACAACCTTAATTACTATTCGAAGTCTGCATTACTTATTTTTTTATATGAAAATGCAAGGATGTGTTCTACCCCTGCATGCCTAGCTTTCTCCATTTTCTTTTCTTTTCGTCTTTTTGTTTGGTTTTTTTTTTGCCATAATCTGCCTCATCAATAGTTACGGCCCTGCGAATCCGGCAGCTTTAACGGTTCATCGGTTCATTAATTAGACCACACTGCCATTACAATCTCTGTTTTAATTGGTTACTATGTTTTGGCGGTTTTTATCTAATGTTCTAATTTTTCAACTCATACCATGATGGAATTCATTCGGAAGGTCAGTTTTATTCTTTCTTTATTAATAACATAATAATGGTCTAGTAATGGTTCATTGGTGTTACTTACACACAGAATCAAAGTTTATTTTAGCAGAGACATATAGACACATACAAAAACGCTGAATGCAAACGATAAGAACCTACGAAGTCTCATAGTATAAGTCTAACCGGTCTACTCGATCCGAAACGTTGAGTCAATCAATTGGTAAATACAAGTCATATATAAACCAGACTAAATATCATAGTATAACAAATCTAAATAAGATTACTGAGTTATGAAATATGATCGTAAAATCTTCTTTTCTGATCGTAATTTTATAATGGATTGACTGTCCTTTTCGATAGTTACTAAAATATGAGACTTAGTAGGTTCTTATCGTTTGCATTCAGCGTTTTTGTATCGGATATTTTTGTTAACTATCAATGTTCGTGGTTCAGCATGGACAGTAAAAAAATATCCGATAAAAAACGTTGAATGCAAACGATATGAACCTACGAAGTCATTTATAGTAGTAGACCGGTATGAATGCTATTTTCAAAATTGTGTAAATCGATTGGAAATAACACGACATAGAAATAAATAGAAATAAGAATAGTACTATAAATGATCATATGGGTTAAATTTGAATTTTTATCATAAACAGATTTTTTTTAGTGTAAACTGATGAATTGAGCCCTTTTCAACTGATTTTTATAGCTTGTTCCTATATATGTTGAACTGTACACCACTATCCCAGGTTAGGGGGAGGGTTGGCACCTTCAAACTAGCTTAACCCTGCCACATTCTGTATGTGCCTGTCCTAAGTCAGGAGCCTATAATTCAGTAGCAGTTGGTTTTTGCTGTATATCATTTTGTTTTTTCTTTCATGGTTTTGTACCTAAATCAGGCTGTTTTCTCATTTGAAATGTTTTTTGCATTTGTCATTTCGGGGCCTTTCATATATGACTATGCAGTATGGGTTTTGCTCATTGTTGAAGGCCTTACATCAACCTATAGTTGTTAACTTCTATGTCATTTGGTCTCTGGTGGAAAGGTTGGGAACAGACCCTCTATATAATGTTTATACCTGTAAAGAGGAATAACCCTTCTGAAGAAGGATAATTATCCCTCTATGACCCTCTATAGAGGGATATGATTTTTTATATAAAAAAGAAGATGTGGTTTGATTGCCAATGAAACAACTCTCCACAAGAGTCCAAATGACACAGAAATTAACAACTATAGGTCACTGTTAGGCCTTCAAAAATGAGCAAAGCCCATATCACATAGTCAGCTATAAAAGACCCAGAATTGACAAATGTAAAACAATTCAAACAAGAAAACTAATGGCCTTATTTATATATACAAAATAATGAACGAAAAAAAACAAATATGTAACACAGCAACAAACGATAACCACTGAATTGTAGGCTCCGGACTCGAGACAGGCACATACAGAATGTGGCGGGGTTAAACTAGTTTGAAGGAGCCAACCCTCTCCTAACCTGGGACAGTGGTGTAACAGTACAAGACAAGAACAAACAATAAAAATCAGTTGAAAAAGGCTTAACCCATCAGATGGATATAAATAAAAAAACATCTAACAAAAACACAGTGGATGGGGACAGACTGCATCACAACAACAAAAATACATTAAGTAAAGATCTGAGAGTACTTGCAGTTACTGACAGCTAGGTCAAAGCCAATAACAACTAATAAAAAAAAACATGCATCTAGGACTAAATTATCAATCAGTTGATATCCAACATCCAATGGATTTAGTGTAAAGACGTCATAAACAGTCAGAGAAAATCATGACCTTGTACAATGCCAAGATACAGGATTATCATTATTAGACGGATTATAAGCAAAACATGGCAAATGTGCATTTTCTACTTATTATGGCAGTAACCTGCAACATTTGATGCACCAATTGTTGCACTTAATGTAATATGCACATGTCTAGTTTACTGCTAAACTGACTGAATATACAATCTATTGTTCATGTTAATTGAAAGCTGTGATGATCAGGTAAATTCCACTCAGTTATGCCTCAATGAACAGATTTCTACATATATGTAAGCGAATGATAATCCCTTTCTTCATGATTAAGAACAAGTGTTATCGAGTACTTACCATGAAGTAAGGGATTATCATTCTCTTGTCAGTGTAAATTAAATGTTTATAATTGATGCATAACTTCATTTTTTAGCATTTTATTTATGGGTTAGTTTTAGTGATGTAAGGACTGTCATATAGCTTGGGAGATATTTTTAAAATGCTTTATAGACATTAGGTGACACAACAGTAAAAAGAAAAGGTATGAATTGTATATGTTTCCTGATTGTGAGTATGAATGTAAATCATGAAATATTTTTGTGAGGAACTATCCTTTTTTTATTTACAGTTTAAATCAATAAATACATTTGAGTTACAACTAATTTTATTTCACAGCCAATATTTTGGTCCAGCTTTTTAAATAAAAAACTATTTCATTATGTCAGGGAAATGTTCTAATAAAATGCCTTTAAAAATTTAAATATATTCAAAACCTAAATCAGATTCCTGTTTTTTTTTATTTCTTTTATCAGAATATTGGAAATAACTATTCTTCCCAACCTGGGGTTCAGTAAGCTAAAAATTTAGGTTATTTTTTATTTTAAAAAACTTTTTTTGTATTGCTTTGATATTGTTTATTTTTTTTAGTAATTTGAAGTTATTAATATTTTCATGATAGCATTAAACGTACAAATTTTACTGCACCTGTAAACTTCAACTTATATTGATTTTTTTTTTTAACAAAACTTTTAGTTAGTTTCATTCACTGTGATAAATCCTTTCAATCTGATAAATCTGCTTCGGGGCAGTTGTAACTCATTTATAGAAACTCTTTGTTTTGAATTATAGGTTAGATAATACTTGGTCGAATATTTAAAGCCCGAGGCGTAGCCGAGGGTTTTAAATATTCATAAAACATGACCAAGTATTGTCTGACCAATTTAGAACATATTCAGACCTTCGAGTGACATAACAATATTGGCTGCTCATTGTAATAAACAAACTTTGATATTAGCTGACTTTAAGTGTTAACATGTTTAGTAAAAAGGATGTAAATCATTTAATGGTCATTTCAACAGATGGAATGAAAGAGCAATGAGATAGTTTTGTGATTACAAAAAAGGATAAATTATTCAAAAATGGAGATTGCTTCTGCTTCAGGTACAATTTAATCTTATATATCTAAAATTCCTTCATTTTAAAATGCACAAAATGTTGTATAAATAAGCTTTTCTAAAATTGTATAATTTTCAATAAGGGCAACACTTCATCAATAAATTTTAATTTTCAATCGTTTCAACTTCAGATGATTGCTCATTTTTAAAGATGAATGTATTGGTTTTTTTTTCTTTTTTTTCTCAAAAACTTTCCTTTGATTTTTTTTTATCAACAGACATTGTTTCTGAAAACATTGAATTGAGGTCTGGTATAAAAAAATGGGTTAAATATTACATGTATTTTACCTACACCTTTGCCCCCTTTTCAATTTTTTTTCAGGGGGTCTATATATGTATCATAAAATAACATTAACAATGTTGAAATCTCAACTTAGATACCAGCCCCAGCATATTTACGTCGGAACAGGTAACACATGCATTGGAAAGTATGTATATTTTTTTTTTATTTATTAATAGTTGTCTGATAGATATTAAAATAATTTGAATATGTATTACAGAAAGACGGGAGCCCAGAGAAGAAAAGTACAGTCCCAGACAGACCTGGAGATGATTTAATTGTAGATGCCTAGATGATGATGTATGTATTTTGTCGTTACAATTGTACTTAAACTGTTAATAGTTGTAAGGTAATAAAATCAGTTTTCCCTGGAGAAACAGCTTGAAAATTTATTACAAATTAGTCCAAAATTTCTTTTTCAAATTTATACTCGAATGAAAAAAAGTATACTTGTACTCCAATTTAGGATTTGAATTAAAACATGCATCACAATAATTTCTGAATTAATTATAACAGCAAATAGACTCTTAAGATTGACAATTTGGAAACCCTTTCTCTAATAGTCTCACCTGAACGAAAGTAAAGTTTCCGATTGCCAATGTTTATCTACATATTTAGTCGATTTTTTAAAAAGTAATTTGGAAAATATGACTTGATTTAGATTGTTTGAAATTCAGTTGAATTTTAATCATTTCTGTTCAAAATGTATACATCAGATTGTTTTGGTTAGCCACCAACTTCTGATAATTTGACACGCACATTAATTTCGGAAATAATGATTATATCATTAAACGGTCTTCATGACTGTTTGAAATATAGATTTAAAATGAAAATAAGTTAATGATTTACAGTCAAAAAGAGCAATTGACCAATGATGATGGCTGCCATTAATGCCAGTTTTTCTTTATAGATATTTTGAAAGAAAAAAAAATTAAAGTAGCAAATTTTTTAAGTTTTATATTTGGTTCAATATTTTTGAACTTATTTTGTTTTTGTTTCAGATACCAGCCCCAGGATATTTACATCAGGACAGGTAACATATGCATCAGAAAGTAAGTATATTTTTTTTTTATTTATTAATAGTTGTCTGATAGATATTAAAATGATTTGAATATGTATTACAGATAGACGGAAGCCCAGAGAGAAGAAGACGAAATAACACTCCTAGAGCTGGAGATGATTAATTGTAGATGCCTAGATGATGATGTATGTATTTTGTCGTTACAATTGTACTTAAACTGTTATTAGTTGTAAGGTAATAAAATCAGTTTTCCCTGGAGAAACAGCTTGAAAATTTATTACAAATTAGTCCAAAATTTCTTTTTCAAATTTATACTCGAATGAAAAAAGTATACTTGTACTCCAATTTAGGATTTGAATTAAAACATGCATCACATTAATTTCTGAATTAATTATAACAGCAAATAGTCTCTCAACATTTACAATTTGGAAACCCTTTCTCTAATAGTCTCACCTGAACAAAAGTAAAGTTTCCGATTGCCAATGTTTATCTACATATTTAGTAGATTTTTTAAAAGGTAATTTGGAAAATATGACTTGATTTAGATTGTTTGAAATTCAGTTGAATTTTAATCATTTCTGTTCAAAATGTATACATCAGATTGTTTTGGTTAGCCACCAACTTCTGATAATTTGACACGCACATTAATTTCGGAAATAATGATTATATCATTAAACGGTCTTCATGACTGTTTGAAATATAGATTTAAAATGAAAATAAGTTAATGATTTACAGTCAAAAAGAGCAATTGACCAATGATGATGGCTGCCATTAATGCCAGTTTTTCTTTATAGATATTTTGAAAGAAAAAAAAATTAAAGTAGCAAATTTTTTAAGTTTTATATTTGGTTCAATATTTTTGAACTTATTTTGTTTTTGTTTCAGATACCAGCCCCAGGATATTTACATCAGGACAGGTAACATATGCATCAGAAAGTAAGTATATTTTTTTTTTATTTATTAATAGTTGTCTGATAGATATTAAAATGATTTGAATATGTATTACAGATAGACGGAAGCCCAGAGAGAAGAAGACGAAATAACACTCCTAGAGCTGGAGATGATTAATTGTAGATGCCTAGATGATGATGTATGTATTTTGTCGTTACAATTGTACTTAAACTGTTATTAGTTGTAAGGTAATAAAATCAGTTTTCCCTGGAGAAACAGCTTGAAAATTTATTACAAATTAGTCCAAAATTTCTTTTTCAAATTTATACTCGAATGAAAAAAGTATACTTGTACTCCAATTTAGGATTTGAATTAAAACATGCATCACATTAATTTCTGAATTAATTATAACAGCAAATAGTCTCTCAACATTTACAATTTGGAAACCCTTTTTCTAATAGTCTCACATGAACGAAAGTAAAGTTTCCGATTGCCAATGTTTATCTACATATTTAGTCGATTTTTTAAAAAGTAATTTGGAAAATATGACTTGATTTAGATTGTTTGAAATTCAGTTGAATTTTAATCATTTCTGTTCAAAATGTATACATCAGATTGTTTTGGTTAGCCACCAACTTCTGATAATTTGACACGCACATTAATTTCGGAAATAATGATTATATCATTAAACAGTCTTCATGACTGTTTGAAATATAGATTTAAAATGAAAATAAGTTAATGATTTACAGTCAAAAAGAGCAATTGACCAATGATGATGGCTGCCATTAATGCCAGTTTTTCTTTATAGATATTTTGAAAGAAAAAAAAATTAAAGTAGCAAATTTTTTAAGTTTTATATTTGGTTCAATATTTTTGAACTTATTTTGTTTTTGTTTCAGATACCAGCCCCAGGATATTTACATCAGGACAGGTAACATATGCATCAGAAAGTAAGTATATTTTTTTTTTATTTATTAATAGTTGTCTGATAGATATTAAAATGATTTGAATATGTATTACAGATAGACGGAAGCCCAGAGAGAAGAAGACGAAATAACACTCCTAGAGCTGGAGATGATTAATTGTAGATGCCTAGATGATGATGTATGTATTTTGTCGTTACAATTGTACTTAAACTGTTATTAGTTGTAAGGTAATAAAATCAGTTTTCCCTGGAGAAACAGCTTGAAAATTTATTACAAATTAGTCCAAAATTTCTTTTTCAAATTTATACTCGAATGAAAAAAGTATACTTGTACTCCAATTTAGGATTTGAATTAAAACATGCATCACATTAATTTCTGAATTAATTATAACAGCAAATAGTCTCTCAACATTTACAATTTGGAAACCCTTTTTCTAATAGTCTCACATGAACGAAAGTAAAGTTTCCGATTGCCAATGTTTATTTACATATTTAGTCGATTTTTTAAAAAGTAATTTGGAAAATATGACTTGATTTAGATTGTTTGAAATTCAGTTGAATTTTAATCATTTCTGTTCAAAATGTATACATCAGATTGTTTTGGTTAGCCACCAACTTCTGATAATTTGACACGCACATTAATTTCGGAAATAATGATTATATCATTAAACAGTCTTCATGACTGTTTGAAATATAGATTTAAAATGAAAATAAGTTAATGATTTACAGTCAAAAAGAGCAATTGACCAATGATGATGGCTGCCATTAATGCCAGTTTTTCTTTATAGATATTTTGAAAGAAAAAAAAAATTAAAGTAGCAAATTTTTTAAGTTTTATATTTGGTTCAATATTTTTGAACTTATTTTGTTTTTGTTTCAGATACCAGCCCCAGGATATTTACATCAGGACAGGTAACATATGCATCAGAAAGTAAGTATATTTTTTTTTTATTTATTAATAGTTGTCTGATAGATATTAAAATGATTTGAATATGTATTACAGATAGACGGAAGCCCAGAGAGAAGAAGACGAAATAACACTCCTAGAGCTGGAGATGATTAATTGTAGATGCCTAGATGATGATGTATGTATTTTGTCGTTACAATTGTACTTAAACTGTTATTAGTTGTAAGGTAATAAAATCAGTTTTCCCTGGAGAAACAGCTTGAAAATTTATTACAAATTAGTCCAAAATTTCTTTTTCAAATTTATACTCGAATGAAAAAAGTATACTTGTACTCCAATTTAGGATTTGAATTAAAACATGCATCACATTAATTTCTGAATTAATTATAACAGCAAATAGTCTCTCAACATTTACAATTTGGAAACCCTTTCTCTAATAGTCTCACCTGAAGGAAAGTAAAGTTTCCGATTGCCAATGTTTATCTACATATTTAGTCGATTTTTTAAAAAGTAATTTGGAAAATATGACTTGATTTAGATTGTTTGAAATTCAGTTGAATTTTAATCATTTCTGTTCAAAATGTATACATCAGATTGTTTTGGTTAGCCACCAACTTCTGATAATTTGACACGCACATTAATTTCGGAAATAATGATTATATCATTAAACGGTCTTCATGACTGTTTGAAATATAGATTTAAAATGAAAATAAGTTAATGATTTACAGTCAAAAAGAGCAATTGACCAATGATGATGGCTGCCATTAATGCCAGTTTTTCTTTATAGATATTTTGAAAGAAAAAAAAATTAAAGTAGCAAATTTTTTAAGTTTTATATTTGGTTCAATATTTTTGAACTTATTTTGTTTTTGTTTCAGATACCAGCCCCAGGATATTTACATCAGGACAGGTAACATATGCATCAGAAAGTAAGTATATTTTTTTTTTATTTATTAATAGTTGTCTGATAGATATTAAAATGATTTGAATATGTATTACAGATAGACGGAAGCCCAGAGAGAAGAAGACGAAATAACACTCCTAGAGCTGGAGATGATTAATTGTAGATGCCTAGATGATGATGTATGTATTTTGTCGTTACAATTGTACTTAAACTGTTATTAGTTGTAAGGTAATAAAATCAGTTTTCCCTGGAGAAACAGCTTGAAAATTTATTACAAAATAACACTCCTAGAGCTGGAGATGATTAATTGTAGATGCCTAGATGATGATGTATGTATTTTGTCGTTACAATTGTACTTAAACTGTTATTAGTTGTAAGGTAATAAAATCAGTTTTCCCTGGAGAAACAGCTTGAAAATTTATTACAAATTAGTCCAAAATTTCTTTTTCAAATTTATACTCGAATGAAAAAAGTATACTTGTACTCCAATTTAGGATTTGAATTAAAACATGCATCACATTAATTTCTGAATTAATTATAACAGCAAATAGTCTCTCAACATTTACAATTTGGAAACCCTTTCTCTAATAGTCTCACCTGAACGAAAGTAAAGTTTCCGATTGCCAATGTTTATCTACATATTTAGTCGATT